TAATAAAAGAGGGTTATCACATTGATCTCTGTTTAACCAAGTGTGTATTAAAAACAGGTGTTGTGTCGGCATACTGTAGAGTGCGAAAGTAATTGCATCTAATCGGATCAAACTTCCAACGAAAGCCTCATTGGCCCAGATGATTAAGGCATCTACTGTACATAGACAGCAGAAGGTCTCAGGTTCCATTCCTGGTTACAATACGATTTGATACGACTTTATTTTCCATCAAAATTCAATAAATACAATAAAAATACATCAATATAATAAATAAAAATGAAATATGGATGAGGGAGATACAACGAAAAGCAAACAGCCTGAAAAATGTTGCATCACCTTTACATAATAATAGTTAAGCAAATTTAAATACATGAACAAAGACAAACTTACACCCACCCAGGATGGAAACATAGAAGCATGAAGTCAAACAATTGGGAAAAATTCATAAAGAGAGATTTAAAAAGCATTGCATGGTATTGAATTTTATTTTCACAGTGAACTAGTACAAATACAAGTGAGTATAGACCTATATTGTACACATTAAGTTACAATCAAAATACCTTAACTGTATTATAAGAAATTATCTTTGTTTCTGGTATTGTAGTTATGGTTTTCACGGTGAGTAGTAAAAAAATGATTAAAAGTGAAGCTGTTAACATGTCGTGCTTGTATTTTTACATAAAAATAGCAACTTCACTTGTATACATGTCAAAGATATTCAAAGCATTATATTTAAGAAATAAAGGTTTAGTTGGACACAGATACAAACTGTGTCATATTGCTCTTAAGGCACGTTTTAGTAATAGAAACAATTTGTTTATATATACTTTACTGGCATTTCCCCATTGAAGCAAACCATAGTTAGAACCAATGAGCAGTACAGTTGATAGAGTGAAGCCTTTGGTAAAAATGTTTTGACTTTGCTAAGAACACCAATATTTCTAGATTATGATCTACAAACATTTTCAATAATGTGTTTTTTCCACGTCAAATTATCATCAATAGTTATTCCTAAAAAAGTAGCTTCATGGACTCTATTTAACTTTACACTCATCGAGATAAAAAAAAGCATTTGACACCGTCCATCATCCCACACTTCTTAAAAAGCTGAAACAACAGGGACTCGATAACGTGGAACTTAAATGGTTCACCTTTTATCTGACTGACCGAAAGCAAATCACATCTATTAATGGAGAAAATTCTTCCCCAGCTTCCATTCGGTGTGGGGTCCCGCAGGGATCAATTTTAGGACCTTTTCTTTTTATTATTTTTATTAATGACCTGCCCAATGTTATCTCTAAGTGTTCTGTCTTCATGTATGCTGATGACACTGCTATTTTTTATCCATCTGAATCCAGTAATGACATCAAAATTACTCTTCAAAATGAACTTAAAAATGTTTCTGAATGGCTGAATGAGAACAAACTCTTGTTAGATATTGACAAAACCAAATCGCTTTTGTTTGGGTCTAAGAAAAAATTACATGGTGCAGCAGATCTTGATATTAGGATTAGGGATGCTGCCATTCAAGCCGTTGACAGATTTAAATATCTTTGCATCAGGTTTGATCCATCACTTTCTTGGAATGTACATGTTGACAAACTTTGTTGTAAGGTGAGCAGTAGAATTTCTCTCCTGGGTAGATTATGTCGTTATATTGATAAAAACTATCTTAATTTACTTTATAAATCTCTCATATTACTTTTATTTGATTATTGTGATTCTGTTTGGGGAAATTGTGGAAAGGGTTTATTAGAAAAATAACAAAATAGAGCAGCATGTGTTATACTTATGGTTGATCACCGAACAAAGTTAGTTCAATTACATACTTCTCGTGGGTTGGTCATTTCTTAACGAAGCATTTGTTAACAAATGCTTGAGTGGCAGAGTCCCTTCTCTCCAAAACACTTTCACCTCAGTTGACAGTGTTCATAAATATTCTACCAGATCCAGTTCTGCAGGAAATTTAATTTTGCCTAAAGTCAGAACTGAATCTGGTAGAAGAAGTTTTACTTTTAGGGGTTCTCGAATTTGGAATAATGAGGTATCTTTTTGAAAATATTGTCTTGTTATTTAAGATGTTTAAGAAGATGGTGTATCACATTGATCTCTGTTTAACTGTGTTTATTTTAAATCATTTATAATTTGATGTGGTTTAAATTTGTTAATTTGTTTATTTCTTTTTTAATTTTAGGAACCTTGCAACATTCCAGCAGATGTCAAAAGTTGGACTATTCATGGTCTTTGGTTAGTATATTTTTTAAATTTTGGTATTGCAAGAATGTTCAGTGATAACTGGGCAATTCCATTGCAAAGTCATGACAATATATAAAAAATAATTGAATTAACAGAGATAAATTATCTGCAAATTTTTATTTTATTTATATTATTTAATAAAAGAGAAAAGTGGTATAGTTAATGAATACCAAAGTCATGAAACACAAAATTATTTTGTTGTACAGTAGACATGTGACATTTTATATTTTGATATGTGGATAAGACTATAAAAGAACAAATTTCAATTTTTTTCTAATTTTCTTGGGACTGAAGAAGCAATTGGTTGTAAATTTACAAAAAGTAATTAATGCTTAATACCCTATCCATAGAGAAAATAGAATATCCCTACCAGGCACTATTACAACATAACAACTCAACTGATAGTTAGTGTAGCAAACAATGTAATTCAATCGCTTATTTAAATAACTGAAGTAATTAAAACAATTCAACTGCTAGTTTAAACAATCAGTTGTTGATTCAAGTTTAATGTCCAAACAATGAAGACTCAAATGATAGTGATTAAATTATAAATCATCAGAAATTACTAACATAAAATTGCAAAGTTTTTAATAATAATGGTGTAATAGTTTTGTGTACGACTATTAATAAATGACTCTGAAACTATATTTCAAACTCGAACACAGCTTCTTTATTCCATGTTCAAACACTGAGTGCCTACTTTTCGACAATTACACTTTCTAAAATTACATTCCCCTTTTTATCATAATAGGATCTTTCCCCCCGACAAATGATGTTGCATTTGGTCTACATGACGTCGCACAATTCTATTTACCAACTCCACGTCTACATTTTGCTACCCAGCTTCTGACAAACTACCCCATGAAGCCAATGGTCCCCTCTGGCATAATTTTTAATTACAGTAATTTTTAATTTAAAAATAATTTTTTTTTTTTTTTTTTTTATTAATTTCAAATTCCCTCATCGGGACATGGCGGTCATGGTGTTGCTTTTGGCATGTCTGCCTTGTCATTTATGCTAGGGTGCATGCTCAATGGCGATTGTAGCAAATTAAGTCCTATTGTAAAGCTAGATAAAAGCAAGACCACCCAACATTGTTCACTCTGTTGCCCACCCACTTTAACAATGGTATATTCCAATTGGGTGGTTTATGTCCTGGGTGGTTTATGTCCTGGGTGGTTTATGTCCGTATCCCACTTAAATAATAATCTTGATAATTTTGTTAGTAGAGAACCTGCAGCCATCTTGACAAGACCCTGTTTAACCGTCTGGACGGCTCTCTTGTCCAAACCATTGTATGATGGTTTGAACGGGACGCTACTGCTTAATCCCGTTACGCATTGCGAATTCTTTAAATAGTTCGCTAGTAAAGGTTGGCCCATTTTCACTAAAATTTTGGGAATACCATGGGTGGCAAATACCCTTCTTAGTGCTTCAATAGTAATTTCAGCTGTTATGGAATTTGATTATAATTCTTGGGTGACAATCATGTAATTCATTAATTATGAGTGGGCACAATATAAGAACCCCACAAAATACAATCATCCTGTACACTCAATTCATCTTTATGTCTTAAGTAATGCTTAAATAATTCTTGAAAGTCATGATTGATTTGAGAGTCCCATTTACCATACAATATGCAATTTCTGACATGTGCCAGTATAGGCTTTTTATCGGTCCACTTTCTAATTCTATTAGACGTTACTGGGGATGAAGCATTGTTGGTGTGCTCCATTAACATCACTACATCACCTGGTATAGGAATTAACCCTTGGGTAGTAGAAAGGTAATCTACTAAAGCTATCTGTTACCTCATTGTGAATATCTGGACGATACAGCATAGTATAATCATAAGCTGAATGATTGAGAGCCCATCTCTGTATCCTTGCTGAAGCCAGGGTTGGGATACCCTTAGTCTCATTAAATAAAGATTGAAGTGGCTTATGATGTTCTGAAGATAACTTAAAATGCAATCCATACAAATATTGTTGGAATTTCTTATCACTAAATACACATGTTGCAAGACACTCTTTCTCAATCAAACTGCTGCATAATTTCTCTCTGCAGAAGACAACGTGCATGACGCATATGCAATAGGTTCGGCTGTGTGCTAACACAGCCGAAATACCATAGGCTGACGAGTAAAATAGCTTTAGAAGGATCGTAATGCACTAATACAGTACTTTAAGCCAGGTTTCCAGTCGACGTAGAAGGCAGATTTACTTACGATTACGTCGTTTTATCGTAAGAAAATGCGATTTGACAGGAAACCGATTTTGACTGGTACGTTGCGAAATCGACGTAACGTAAACTAAAATCGTTGCAAAACAGTTTTGGACAGGAAACGATACATCGATTTTCCACTATTTGACAGGAAACCGCAATTTAGTGACTTTTTGTTGAATGACCCCTCATACGTTGCATTGCAAACGATTCTTATGAAAAGTTGACTCCAAGTCAACTTTCATAAGAAACGTAAACGGAAATGCATGCTGTCTGTACTTGCCTATACAACAACATTGTCGAGGAACTAGAACTCTCATTGACTTACATATTGATAATAAAATGGTTAAAAAGAAGCATATCCTCCATTTTTTTTATGATAGGCATTTAAAATCTGACAAATTTTGTTAGCCTATACACAGTGGCGGCTCTAGGATATAATTTATGAGGGGGGATAAGGTGTCCGACTGGGGTGTAACTATAGCACGCAGCGTTATCTGAGGGCTGAAGGGTGGAGCCGGGGTTGGGTATGGGAGGGGGTTCCCCCTACTCCCAAAACAAGTTTTTTTTTTTAAATTGGGACTTCTGGATGACTTGAAATGGCTGGGATGGGAAAAGTAGGCCTATTTTTTTTTTTTTTTTGTCCGACTGCCCGACAAGCTTTGGGCGATGGGTGGGGGGCTTGAGAAGACTGATGGGGGAATTACCAGACTGATAGCCGCCACTGCCTATACAGCTGTAAATTATCACTGGAGTATTTTGATTGACTGCATGTAAATGGACCAGAAATTTTTTTCGTGTGGGGGGAGAGTGGTGGTCAAGAATGAGGATTGCAATTAGATTTAATTAATTACATTTATTATACAAAAAAACTTATATAATATAAAAATAATATATAAAACACATAATATAAATAAATAAATAAATAAAATATATAGGCCTATTGCCAGTTGGAATATTTTCTGCTAATTTCAATAAACAATTGTTTTCCTTCTTAATTTTAATTCCTGTTTATATTAAACAACCCAAATTTTATAATTTCAACATTTAAATCATGTTTTCTGTATAACTGTATATCAAATCAAATCAAATCAACATTTATTTCTTTCACAATATAACAATAAAAAATATATAATTATTAACAAATGTCTAAGGTATTATATGTATATACACTATATTTAGTAAATATAATTTAAATTGAAAGAAGCATGTGCCCTGTAATTAAAATTAATTGGAAACGAATTCCAATTAAAACTTGTGATGGGCTAGCCAGATAATATATTGTAGTGTAATAAAGTAAATATATAATTAAGAAGAACTAAAAAGACATATAAACTTAGAGGATGCACAATTAATTGATGTAAAAAATAAATACTAAGTATTACATTAATTATAATTTGAAAGAAGGTATTTTTTTAATTTGTATGAGAAAAGTTTACTTGTGGGGAACAGTGTTATACTGTTAGGAAGATTTTTAAATAATATTAGTACCGCTGTAACGGATATTGTGTTGCATTTGAGTGAGTTTTGGTTGAGGTAAATGAAGTTCATGTGAAGCCCTAGTATTGTAAGAATGTATACAGAGCTAGGTTTAAAATTATCTGGAGATAAGATTTTTCTGTCAGTTCAAAACATAATATTAGATAGGTTAAATGAAATAAACAAAGTAAAATATAGGCCTAATTGATATTTTAGGAACGAAACAATAAAATCGATAACGAGAAATTTAGTAAATCAAGATTTGTAGGCCCTTATACTGTACTACAGGACTAGACTATTGTTTAAATCGAACGGTGAAAATTGTCCTCGCCAGGTTATTCTAATGAGGAAACCAGACAGGAAGTGAGAAATGTTAACATTTCGCAGTCGCAAAGAAAAATTCAACTTGACATAACTCACATGTGACAACGTTAGGAAAGGCTTTGCCGTTCGAGCTTGAAAAGTTCAACTTGTCTTAAGAATCATTACCGGCTTGATTAAGACGCAGTTGTTTTTTTCCAACTTGAGATCCAGCCATTGTTTCCCATAGCATTGTTGTTTTCCAGTATTTTGCCTTTTAATCTATAAGCTGTCTCTTATACACATCTAGATGTGTATAAGTATATACGTATATATAGGCCTATAGTATATTTAATATGTCTATAACTCATTAAATTTTTTTTAATTATTATGTCATTATTGCTGTCATCATATCGTTATTATAATTAGTTATATTATACCTTTTTATATTTTTATTACAGTAGAATCCCTCCCCGATTTTAAGACCGTGACTAAACTTGATGAAAATCCCTTATTTGAGCGCGCATATCTTCACACCAAGTTTTCCGCTTTGATAATTTGACATCAAGCTTTCCAGCTCTGCGTCGTAATAAAAGTTCCGATGTGTGCGTCTACGTATAAATCTAGATCAGCGGCTATTTAGTTCACATGAGTTGGCGTAATTTGTGGGGATTCCCCGTGAAGCACGTTCAGATAACTTTACATTTCGTCAACTATTCTCATCACTGAGCTCCTGAAGTGAAATTCATGACAAGAAAATACAAGAAGGAATACCTTCTTCTTCATCATCATCATCATCTTCTTCCTTCAGAAGGAATGGGGGTTTGTAGCAAGCGGAAAATTGAATACGCCAATTTAAGAGTAGCTCTCTCACCAATACGAGGAAGGATGGATGAACATATTGCAAAACAACAAAGCCATCCATCTCACTAAATATTTATTTCATCGGTGCAGTAAAACAATTCATGTTGATGGTGTTTACAGTTAGC